AATTGTGAAGCAAATATTTTCAATAATACTCTACAAAAGACTTGTGTTACACCTGGAAAGATAATAACAAAACAGCAATATTCTGCTACTGATATGAGTGATGGACTTCACATGTATGTGGAGCCTGCAATATCTGATCTGAGCCAAAATGCATAACTCAATATATAGCTGAACGGGGCATTATAATAGTGCAGAACACAGCATTTTCTGTCTTGAGCACATAGATTCTGACCATGTGAGTTGAATTTAGACACAAAGAGCAAGATTCACATGCTTGTTGAAAATGAGGACCCACCATATGAACAAATGGACTCATCAGGTACAGAGGGATAACTCACAGAGGGATGGGTTTCAAGAGATTGAGATGGAAAAGGCAGAGCATGAGAGGCAAAAGAGGGCATAGGCGTGGGTTTTTGCCTTGAGAAGCAGGACAAGGAGCAAAAGTGATTTCAGAGCTACCAAGATCTCTGTAGCCATACCATTTATTTGCTTCTGTTCCAATTTTCTAACTGGAAGCTCAGCAGGAACACCAGTCTGAAGAAAGGTATGCACTGGGCTGACACGTGACAAGAATAATTAGAAGAAGGCCACAGATTTGAGAAGACATCTCACGACCCTTTGGAACCTTATTAATACTGAACTCAGGAAAACTGCCTTGCTCCTTGTCCCCCACCAAGAGTGTGGTCTGAGATGGGATGCTGATTTGGACATACAGGGTGCGCAATGAAAGGAATTGAGGGAACTGAATAATTCAGCTTTTCTGGTTGGCCTCACAGTTGTTCCCAAGGTTGACCTTGGACTACTGGCCATATTTAGAATTAAGAAGGTCAGAAGGATGCACAAATTCACAGTTTTTTACAAAAATCAGGAAAGGAGCACAACTTCTCTTTTTAAAAAAACCTCTGCTGCACAGTCAAGTAGTAAACGCACAAGAAAAGGCTTGCAATAAAACACTCTCCCTTGGGAAACAAATTGTGTCCTCCTCTCTCTTTCCATGACATCCGTGTGTCACTGGAGCTAGGGTATGGTTTATCAGCCTTCTGGCTTTCACAATGTTCTCAGCGCTTCTCGCATACTTCCTGCATGCACATCCATGCACTCATCCTCCTTTTTTATGGCTGAAGGTTAGTGAGGATAAATGAAAGCTTCCAATGCCACCGTCTATGGTCAGTTTAGATCTCTTAGATAATCTCCCGTGAGGTCACCCACCTCTTCTAAATGTCATGCACACATGTGATCTGAAAGGCTTCACAGGCTGTCCCAGAGCCTGAATGACATCCCAGTGACTCAGGCACTAATGTCTCTGCATGAGGCTGTGCCTTAATTCCCTGCTTTGACTCTTTCTCCTATAAAGTGCTGCTGACTCTTCTATCACTGAGAGCTGTCAAGCAGGGTAGCGTAAGGGGGGGAATAACTTCACAGAGGTCAGGGAAATGACACTACACAGTACTACACAGTTGAGAAAATTCAGTTGGCGTGAATTTGTATAGCTATGACAAAAATGGGACACCTGTGCTCTTCTCTAGCTCTTGAGAAGAGAGGAAAGTGCTTTGCCTACATTGCTTGTCCAGCAAGGCAAGCAAAAAACATGCCAACATCACAATGACTAAAACCAAGGGCCAGGTCTCATGCCAATATAGCATGGCATCACAACATACTGCAGCCACAGCAGTTTGCAGCAGCAGTTGCTTCTGCTGTGCAGACTTTGAGAATTCAGAACAAAATAAATACTCAGAAGAGAATACGCAGTAAACACTATCTCTAGAAAGGGAAAGCAAAAAACAGCATCTTACAGTTCTCCCTCTCTCTCTAGCCTGATGTTTCATCTATGAAGCACATGGCTCACCATAGCTCATTATTGTTCTGGAGGAGCCCTGGGAAAAGCATGATTCAAAAAGGCATCAGGTGGCACTTCAGACCCTATCCCAGTGGAGTGGCAGCAAGGAGGGGGCCCAAGCCTCACTGGGCATGGTTGCATGGCCTTCTACAAAGAGCTGAGATGCTATATGATGCATGCCTGAGTTCTAATCAAGCAGCACCAAGAAACACGATTCATTCAGGACAGCACCAACCTCTGCCAGACATGGCATCTCAGCTCTGAGTCAAGATGCAGCTAAAACTAATAGCAGTTCTTTGGCTCAGTGGAACCTGCGTCTTGGCCCACATGGACAAACAGGGCACTCTGAGGATCATCTGAGGCTGCCTTTTCTTAGTGTTTTTCTCATGCTTGAATTCTTGCTTTGCTGTCCCATAGGAGCAAGGCTCTGCCAGCACAGCATCTCTCACCACAGCCCCGTGGTAGCCTGGCATCCTGAAGGATGCTCCTCATGCCCACAGAAAATCTTCTTCCTTCAGCTTTCCACTCTAAGGTCATTCTGACCTGGCTGAGAAACAAGGGAACTAGCACACCGGTGTATAATTTTGCATTCCAGGATGGCATTATTTCAGGAAACACACTTGTATATCAGTGTGGAGGCACTATTCCTAAAGAATTTTGCTTGTTCTGTATTCATTTTATCTTAGAATGCATGCTGGTGTTGCGCTATGCAGAAAATATTTAACAAGAGCAAATTCCAGCTGAGTTTCTCTCCTGAACCTGTATCTATTAGGACAGGATGAGTCAGAGATAATGGCCATTGCGGAGTTTTTTTTTTTTTTTTTTGTTTTTTTTTTTTTGTTTTTTTTTTTGGGGGGGGGGGGGGAGGGGGGAAGAGGGGCCTACTGATATTTTACATGTTGTTGTTCTTCTCTTTAAGGAAAAACAACACAAAGTGACACACAGAAGTGTATTTTCCTGTCATGGAGAGCAAGAACTTGATTTTTTTTTTTTAGAATAAGATCTTTTTTCTGCATGTAGTGTAGGAAAAAAGAAAAAAAAAAAAAAAAAACAACAGAGATTCTGTCTTCAGCCATGGTGGAGTGGCGACTCCAGTCAGCTCTCAGAAAAAGTTCTTTTCAGACTGATTTATCTCAGTAGAAGTGCTGAAGATGTGACATCCCCAGGAATTAAATTTTTAATTTATTGACATGCTCAGTAAGTTTTCCAAGTGGAGCAACCACAAAGAAGTCTCTAAAATGTCACACACCAGCATGATCTTGAGCTTTTTCCAGTTTAAGGCTCTTGTTTTTGAGAGGAGCATCTAATTTAGAAAATCACCTGTGTGAATCACTTATTAATACACGCTCCTCATGGTTCATAGGACTGCATGATTTAACTCTGACTCGAGCAGAAAATCTTAAGACTGCATCCCCCAGGAGGACTCAGAAGACCATCTAATCCATCTCCTTGCCACTAAGTACAAGCAACTATACTTGCCTAATTCCAAGTATATTCTTTACAGTGTATTGTAAGGATCTATTCATGATGGCAATCCTACTACAATCTCCCTAGACATCCTATCCTAGCATTTAATTACGCATACCATTAGGAAGTGTTTCCTAATTTAAAGCTGGTATTATTAGTCTGTACAAATGTAATATGTTTGCGTGATGTTAAAATTGATACCTGGGCAGGAAGTCTGCAACAATGAGCAGAGCAATCAAATCAGAAAATTATGTCAATCCTATAAATTTCCATGCTGGCAGTGGCTTATACTCCCTGAAGCATGGTTAAGTTGCATGCAGGCAGTTCTTAAACAAAGATCTTGGTCTCTTGTGATTCTTCTAGGTCAGATGACAAAAATAATAGCTCTTAAAAGAAGATGAGCTGTTCTTGATGAATGCAAGCAAGAATTAAATGATCCTGGTCAGGGGAACTGACGTAAGCAATCATGTAACTCTCAGTCATGCGAAGCTTCACCTTCTAACACTTCCACAAAATGAAACCAATCAAGACAGAAAAGGGAGAGGAAAATAACTAAAGGTTTAAGTCAAATTCCAAACCATCTTCAGTACCTGGCTAAGTATCTAGCTCTGTAGTCCAATTATTGCCTTCACAGGCAGCAGTTCAATTGACCATGTAGGTGGCTGGCGTTATTAGAAATTTTACACAGTTCAAACAAACAGTGTGAGAAGAGTCAGGACCTAGAATTTATTAACAACTTTCTCAGTGATTCCCTCAGTTGTGATTTTTCATAACAATGAAATGAAAACTAGGTAAAAGAAATAACAGTTGGAACTTTTTTCTTAACTTCCTAATAATCTTAGGAAGCAAAGATTAAGCCAGTAGCTGATGAGAAGATTTTCTGAAGATTTTCTACAAGCTACTACATATAGTTGTGCATAGAAGGGCTGTAATAGTTTTGGAAAACCTGGATCATTTTTAGTCCTTGTAATGCAAAATTTCTCACTAACAGCAATCCAATAAAAATTCTCACCTCTCCATACAGATTTGCTATATGAGAAAGTAATTCTAACTTCCCAGCAGACCATTAGCATACAACGTATCCATCCCATATAAAAGAATAAGAATGAGGGTGGCTTTTTCCAGTCACTGAACACATAAGCTTTTAAAAATAACTTGCTGAAACAGGCAAGGAGAACTTTGTTCCTCTGTCCTTACACGAGTCCCATAGCGATGCCTGCTTTTACGGCAGCACAGGCTTACACAGGGAGCCAGTGTGAAATAGTTTAAGACTGAACAATTTGTCTTCTGTTAGAGCTAGAATCTGTGACCTTTAGAAGACCGTGTGAACCAGAAGCTGTAAATATTTGTTTCTAAGAGAAACCCAAACAATTAAGAGCAACCGTATTTCTTGACAGCAATGATTTACAACAGTGGGTTCACGGGAGGGCAGCTGCCAGCATTTTCTGAATGTTTCTAAAGCATCTATCACTCACAGTGCTGTCCTGAACCAAGACAGACACTGTGGTGTCACCTTGATAACAGAATCAAGGTATTTCAGTAACTAGAAAGGACACTGTCATGAATGGGAATGGCCATCAGGACTGTTTAACTGCCTAAAGGAATTATGAGTCCTCTGAGTGCTCTTTCTGCCTTTCAAAATTCCCTAAACACTTTTGTTCCTTAATGGCTTACCGATGCCTTTTTATTCATCTTTGCAGTTTATTCATCTTTGCAGTTGAGAGTTTTAATGCATGGGGAATCACAGACAGCCTATAGAAATGTAAGTACCCAGTGGTATTTGTTTTCTGGAGATTGTGGTAACATTCAGTAATTCAGACTGTACAAATGCCATATTTTCCTCCAGTAACTTCTCTGAAAATATGGACAAGTACAGGAGAAACTCCTATCTGCCTAACAGCAAAAACAACAACACACCAAAAACAAACAAACAAAAAACCAACAAAGAAACAAAAAGAAATACAAAACATATTACTTATCAAAAGCAGTGAGAAGCAAACCTACAAGCCCATTTACTTCTACAGTAACACAAGCGTTGTCAGTAGTAGGGACTCCAAGCACATGCACAATGCTGGTCCGTGTTGAGGACCATTCCCCAGAGATTCAGTGCAGGCTTCAGTTTAGGAATGTCTGACTGGGGATTATCTCTGCTCTGCCCCTGCTGCATAGTGCACTCACTAGGGCAGTCTGCCCTTGCAGGCAGCTGATGCAATGCCTACATATTAAGAGTTAACACAAGCAAAAATCACGTGCTCTACGTAGAAACTCATCAACAACTCTTTTATAGCAGATGACAGGCTTAGCTGTAAAGGGCTTGATCGTTAATACAATCTTTATTCCAGTAGGACCATTGGGAGATAACATGTCCTCATATCAGGTGAGAAAGCTGGTGTTCAAGGCTGAAAAACTAAAGTAGGACAGATACTTCTCTGTGACAAGAACATTGTGTTTCTGCCTGTACCAGAGTTCATGGCAAAACCCCTATTGGTTTCAAGGGAATTAAAACCAACCTCTACTTCCCTACAACTCTAATTTTGAACTGGAAAATAACTAATAGATGACAAATCTCAGTATGAGAAAATTGCAAAAATATAATGCCTTGCATAAAATCTGCTGGACTTTTTAGTCAAAGGCAAATAGAGCCATCTGGCAAAAAAAAAAAAAAAAAAAAAAAAAAGGACAGGTGACTTCAGTGATGATTACTTTTATTTTACTATTCCACTTATAGCCTCTTAATCATAGCCACAAGTAGTAAAAGTACCAGAGTATACAGTTTGTTTGCTTATTAAAGGCACAGCTGATGGATATCGCAACTGAGTGGGCACAGCCACATTAAAGTATCTTCTGAACTTGAGTGTTTTCTTTTCAAGGGAATGTAACCACCCAACCCCAGCAATAATTTTAGGATTCCTTTTTCTGATGGTAAGAATTATGAGAGAAAATACTTAATGCAGACTTCCTTTTGAAAAACTTTGGTTCAGTTAGTGTAATAAGGCTGTATAGCAGCAATGCAAAGCAGCTCTCTGCATAGCGATGTCTTGGAAGCGTGCCTCATGCTTAGTTTCTAAAACTACAATATTAATTTTGACTTTTTTTTTATGCTAGGGCCGCAGGCACATATATTACTATGAGCTAAATTAAAGTGTAAATACTGAGATTATCTACTCCTCTGCATATATAAGCCTACTTACGTTATATAAATCAGGTCTCCTCCAATCAGGTTTGTAATTGCCATAGTTCAAATTATGGAAACTTCCTCTACAATAACATGCTTGTTAGCTCATATAGAGAAGGATAGAAAGTTCCAGAAGGTAGGAAAGGCTGCCAACATGGTCACTGCTGACATAAACAACCATACTGCTGTCACTGGGCTACCTCAGAAGTACCAGTAATGTGTTGACCTGCCATGCTAAAGAATTCGAAGCAGATATGATATCAAATTAGTGCTGTAATATAGTATTTCTGTTTGACTGTCTTCTCACGTAACTTCACCTTTCATCTGCATCCTCCCCTTTGACACGACCACTATCAGAATAAGGGGTTTTATGTATTAGCACTGCCTCTGGGTATGGGAAAGGAGAAGGATGCAGCTGGACTAGTTTTTGTGTGTATGAGAACTCTGGATTCTTTTGAAGGAACATGGCAGCCTCCTGAAGAACATCCTTTAACTGCCATCTCCAAAGAGCAATACTCCTTCACTCCAAGAGCAATTTTCCCAGTCCAAGTAAGAAGGAGTCTCCAACCAACCCACTCTACACAAGACAGAAAGTGCTTACCCTAGGTGCTTGGTACTTGAGAAAGGTTGGGGCAGCTCATCCAAGGGTTGCTAGCTTCTTACGCTAGGTACTTTCCATGCTTTTGCTGAGAGACACTCAATGTCTTTATGAAGTAGGCCACTTGTGAGACCAAATAAAAACAACAAAAAAATTTTGCAGTGTTGAAAAGGTAGTTTTGCTCAGAAGTTTTTGAGCTTTATATCTCCCTCTTAGTGACTTTCATAGTCCATCTTCTCTAAGCTTTTTTTTTTTAAAAAAAAGTCTACAGTTTCATTTTTTTGGTGTCACAGATAATCACACATACACCAAAGACTTTCTTATCTCAAACGATACCCAGAGCTCTCCTGATAACTTCGCCACTGTACTAAGAAAATGGTGATATATTGTTACGCCAGTTGCATGCTGCCGGAGCTTAGAACATAGGCCATATTCACTCCTGTTGGCCTTTAGAATCAGTGAAACTGCTTTTGATAAGCTCTTTACAGTACCAAGCAATTATTAATTAAATTAATTAAATTTATTATTAAATTTAATTAATTAATTAAAAAATCATTAGGAATACCAACAGTCCTATACAGGAAAAGGTTGACATACCTGACTACCATTAGGGTCTCTGGCCATAAAACATCCTTCAGGAAGCAGCACTCATACAGAAGATGCTCTCCTTTTGGTGAGCTAACCCTTAAATGAGCCCAGGGAGGGGTGGACCCAGGGTCCGCCTGTTCTGCTCACCTAGGAAGCATAGGTGATTTGCTTGCACCTGGGCTAGTCACCATCTTCACCAGGTGCTCTATCATCAGTTCAGGCCATGACATAAGAGTTCCCTTACAACTCCCTTTAAGAATCAATTTCGTCAATAATTAAACAAGAGAGATGAAAAGCATCTCTTCAGCTTTTCTAGCCAGTTTAGGTAGAATGTTTATTTTATTATTTGTTGTTTAATTTTTCTCCTCTAGGCAGAGAAATCCTTTCACTGCTGCTGCTATGAGGAAGCTAATATTTGCATTGTTTCTACCAACAAGAATTCTCAAGTAAAAATTAATAAAAATGAGCTCATTTATGTTAATTCTTAGCAACTGTCTTGGAGATAAGGGTGTTGGCTCTCCACTATCCCCAGCTTATATGCACGTGCCAGTATGCTTACCAGAGGAAGCAGGGTGGTGTCTGAGGCCATTTCCATTGACGTGCCTAGAGAAGAAAACTTGATTTATGCAGATCAGTTTGTATAAATAATCCATAAATTTCTTCCAGGCATTGAATTTAGACTCCCCGTCTGTTGAGTAAAACTACCTGTACCTTTTACTCTCATGGACTGGCTCTGGCCTCAGCCTCACAAGTGATCAGTGAGACTTGCATGTCATGCATCCCTCAGTCGTTCATTAGTATTAGAAGGGGGAATAAAACACATCTCATCAATGCCTTTGTCACATTCCAGGATGATTTTATTCAGTCAAATGTCACTGAGACAAAAAAAACCCTGTATAGACTTTGTTGGTTTGCCATTCATTATCCATCCTACAGCATATGCAATTAATTCCAGCTGCACGTCATCCAATATAAGGGCTTGCTCGGATGGCATCTCTTACCTACCTCTCAAGTGGATAAGAAACAAACACAGGTGTTTATGAGCAAATAAAATAGGATTACAGGTGCAGCTCCAGTCCCTTCTGTTCCAGCGGTGAAGCTTGACTTGTAGACTGTGGAGGCAACCGAATCTAAAGTCACCAAATTACATGCTGCTGATGCTAATGATAACAATGAAGTGGAATAGACATTCTAGGAACATTTTCAGTGATCAATTGAGTGTGGACATCAGGCTCTCATTATCTCATAAACCAACAGTGTTAACAGAAGGTGATTATGCTGCAACCTTTACTTTGCTAAGCAACAAAAATCATTTGCTCAAATGTGAATTAGGGAATGGAAGAGGGTGGAAGAGCTGAATCCCAACCCACTTGTGTCAAAAGCACCTTTATTTCAGAAAGAGCTCTGCAGCAAACACCGTGAAGGCTGTTTCCTTCTCTGTGGTCCCAAAGCAGTGTTATTTTTACTTGCATTTCTGTCCCTATAAAAATAAATGCCAGTTTTAATCACAAGTAAACGCATCAGGACAGTATGGGGAGCCAGTCCCCATTTACTCATCATTTTCTTAGACCTGAGGTGAGGGTTCACAGCTATAATGATTTTGTACTTAGCACATATATCTCTAGGTGTGCAGAAATCATATCACAATAGACTGGACACACCAAGCTATAAGCAGAAGTCGCTTGTTCTGCCCTTATTGGTCACACAGTCAGAAGATCCCTATTTTGCCCAAGTACCAAGTATACAATTTTTGGGAACCCAATTCCATGAGATCCACACTTGTCCTCACTGCACAGCGGCCATCACAGTCTTTGAGCAGATGCAGAGCAGGGGAATCCTTGGGAAAGGAACTTCAGGTCTCCCTTACCCAGCTGCAGTACAGGCACTGCTGCCTCCTTAAAGGGAACAGTGAAGGCTGGATGCAAAACATCAAACAAACAGACTCCAGGCAGCAGGTAAAAACTGCCCTCCATTGTGAAACACTGCAGAGGCCATTAGCACAGCAGCTCTGAAAAGCTGGTTGAAAAAAACAATCATATTCATTATTCTGCAGCTGCATTGCCTGACTCATCCCACTGCAGATGCTCAGAGGCAACAGCCCAGGTTAAAAACTTTCCCAACTCTGTTTTTTTTTTTTTTTTTCCAATTCCCCAGGGAAGCTCTCCTCTAATAAGGCAGGAGAGCAGTAGGAGCTATATCTGCCTCTGTCTTTGTTGGAGACAAGTGAAAAGGAACCTGCGAAAAGGAAAGAAACAAATGAGATACAGCTGATCTAAGGGCTTTTATTTCATATTGCCTTTTACCATTTGATGCACTTTGACTTTCTCACATCAGTGTAGTAAGTGCTAGCCCAGCGCTTGGGCACCGCATCACTGAATTCAAGGGTGCCAACAGCATTTCTTCCTTTTCCCCTCTTCTTCCACAGAAAGCTTCCGCACAACCATGGCATAGCAGGCATCTTCATGCAGTGAGTTTTTGCTGGAATCCCTGTTCTGATTCTTGAACCCAAGATGTCAGACTTTCTCCTGTGCTTTCATATATAGACACCATCTCACCATACATTGCTTTTAGCTGCAAGGAAATTTCTCTTTCACGTCCCTCACTACTTTGTTTCTACAGAACGCTTTCCCAGTCCAAACATCCTTGCATTTAAATAGATGGGATGACCCAAATACTATTGTGCATGATTATTCAAGTATGAAGTACAAACTCCAGCCCAGTGATTTTTACAGGACAACTTAAATCAATATAATCTTTCTCATCAGTAGATTCTGGAAAGCCTATATTCTACAGCATTGTATGCCATTAGTCATTTAGCTCACTTTTGCTGTATGTGTTGAAGCAGTACGTTGCTAAACAGCTGAACCTTTTGCTGTGCTGTACTCTGGATTGCACTGATTTCCTTCTGGTATGATGTGTAGCTTGGAAATCCTCCACTGTAGATTTTTGTAATGAATATTTTGCAGCAAGCCACTTGTTACTAATGATACTAATTTTACTTGTACAACTCTTTATATAACCTTTACTCAAAAAATAATTGGGAACATTTACAATGGTAATTGAAGTGTTTACCAACCGATGGCCTACTTGTAAGATTAAATGGAATACAGCACTGCAATTCAGAACATTTTCCATCCTTTTATATGAAGAAAAAAAAGAGTGGAAGCCAACATTTTTTGCAGTGCATCCCCAGAATATTCTTTATTGCAGACTATCTACTGCACAATAGCAATGATTTAAACAGAGAATGTACTCTGAATCTGAAATCTAAACCTAATTTAAGGCCTAAATGATGCTCATGAGTACAAATGTATTATCTATTCTCAGAAAATCATATATCACTTAAACACTAATGTTTCCCTAATTTTAAGCAACATCTTGTGAGTCAAAAATTAGATCTGATCCCCCAAATTATGAATGTAAAAAGTAAGATAAAGGTTTCACTATGTCCCACCTAGTGCTAGGTTGCTTTCTCAGATTCATTGCTATTTAGTCACTGCCTGCTCTATCACTAATGGATATTAAAAATTTCTCAAAAGATGCTGGAGATCTGAGAAGCTGCCTGCAAGATAATTTGTCTGTTGATTAAAGGAGAGCTTCCAAGTTAGACTAAGCTAACTGCCAAAAAGTGAAGTAGGGAGAAACTTAATTTTGTCACTGAGAATCTGTTTTTTTTTTTATCATTCCAGAGCAAGGGATTGGAGAGGGTTTGTCTTTGTTTCATTTATAACTGAAAATAAACAAGAATAAATTTCCAGGCAAATAAACAGCTTTATGTAGATCATGATTCTTACTGTTTCCATTAGCCAGCTTGCCATGAAGTTGGAGGAGGTATGAGAGCAAACTGCATAACCAATCTTCATACCATTACAGGGGCTGCTTATCTGGCATGGGTGTTAAATCAGGCCCAGTTAAATCAATGCTGGCCTCTTTGGCAGTGCCCTACCATCAGCTGGCACCTGAACACCTTTGTGCAGGATTTGCATTGCACCTGTGATGAAAGCCAATTTGGTCAGCTCTGCATCACACCTGGTGCATGACTGCTAAACGGGTAGCAAATGTACCCGGCCTCTGCTGTGTGCAAAGCAGGCAAAGCTGCAAAATGAAGCTTGGCCTCAGCTACATAGCTTTGGTAGAAATATCTGAAAGTATTCAAAGTGATGCTGACACGGATGCAGGCAAAACCATTGAGAAAGAAAGCATCCCTTTCCTACATCATATCTAGTGTCTACACATGTCATTCCGATACCAGGGAGGATGATTTTATTAACATGATCCTGATTAATGGTCTCTAATGCAATGATGGAAAGTGGGTTCAAGCAGGAGATAAATGTACAGAAGTGTGCAGCAATGAAGAATGACATTTTTAGAATCCTCCCCCACATACAGAGCAGAGCATGAGCAAGTATCAGCCTCTTTGCCAAGACAGCTTGTGTTCCCTAGAGGAGCAGCGTGGCATACATGGTCTGTGCTGGGATTCAGTTAGATCCCAAACACCCCTTGATTACACCCCTTGATAAACTTCACTAAAACACATAAATAAATATTTTTAAAAGTGCAGTAAAAAGACTTTACCTTTGGCTTCAGCAGTAGGTGAGATTTATCAGTCCTGTGGGATCCTCCTCTACCTCAAGTCTGCTGGCAGCAAAATGCTGGCATTCACCTACCCTGTCACTTTGTAAATCCTGAGGGCGTTTGACCTGGAAAGAGAAGTGTCAGAGGGACACTCCTGCACACCTCCACCAGAGATACAAACAAACAAACAGAAAACGAAAGGAAAGCTGTAAGAAATCAGCATGTATAACCTGCCCGGATCTACTATTCCTGGTAGAAATTAGATCCTGGAAAACTCAGGTGAAAATCAGAGATAATCCCTGTACGTGCTTTTAATGGGGACAAGTCGAAAATGATAAAGCCCTTGCATGGGCTCTGCTCCCAGCCAGTACCCAGCCCTCCAGCTGCTCTGGCAGAAGCAGGGCTCTATTTTGGCCCCAGTGTGCAGATGCATTGCCCTTGCGCTTCCCTTCTGGGTGCCCCGGACCAGCTGTTGGGCTGTGGGCCTCCTGAGGGCTGCAGCCCTCCCCAGGTCCAGCCCATGGCAGTTGGATACTGGCCGGGGGGGGGGGGGGGGGGGGGGGGGGGGGGGGGGGGGGAGGGCTGGGCACCCACAGCTATTCTGGTAGCTGTGAGCCTTGCCTGAGTCATGTGAGCCGCGGGGCCCAGATATGCACTGGGTTGGATTGGCCCAGTGACCAACCGAGATATTTTGGTTGTCTCAGCGCCTCCCAGGCAGAGATTTATTGTCTTAGGAAACCTTCACGAAATAATCCCTGGGTGCTGACCTGATCTTCAGCTGAGAGAGTGTGAAAAGAGGACAGAAAGGGGCTGCTGTCCCCGGTGCGGTGCAGTCTGAACTTATCGGAGTCTGAAACAAGAGAGGATAAACATCTGCTTCTGCCTCAAGCCATGCGCTGGCAGGCAGAGAGGATCTATTACTTGAGTTGCCTGAGGAGCAAAGAGGGCCGAGGGCGACGGCTGAGCAGACACAAAGTGCTACTTGTTGGGATTGTCATCTAGCTCCCTCATCTGTCACCTGATGGCCAGCCAAGCAAGTGCTCAGCACAGCCGTGGACCATTCATTCATCCCTACACAAGAAACGGAGGCGAGAAAAGTAAGCATCTTATTACAGCTGTTATGACATTCAGCAGTTTTTTCTATAAAGGAATGCACTGAATTCGCTACAAATCTATTAATTCTTCCCCTATGCCAGGCGAGAGACTGTGGGTTTTTTTTTGGTTGGGCTTTTCTCTAGCAGCTGGAGGTCTGGTGGGCATTCATACAAATGGCTGTTGATTAAGGCATCTGTTTCACTGTCTAATGGCATTATTTAGTAACTTAGTCAAGCAGAAAGCATTGCATTACCTACAATGAGCTACTTCCTGTCCTACTGCAAAGCGCACTGCACCACGGTGCTCTCCCATTACCAGACCCTGAGATCAGAGGGCTTTCTATGTGATATTTTGCTGAAAGTGAAGGAAAATGAGTTTCCTGCACACAAGTCTTTGTTGGCATGCTCCAGTGACTATTTCCGAGCCATGTTCAAAAGTTACACACAGGAATCTAAAGCCAGTGTGATTCAGCTGCAGGTTGTCTCACCCACTGGTCTCCAGCACGTCCTGGATTTCATTTACACTTCCTTGCTGCCTCTTTCCTTTGAAAGCCTGGAGGAGACCTTGGAAGCTGCAAGCTACTTGCAAGTGACTGATGCCATTGGCTTGTGCAATCAGTACTTGGTTAACAACCTCTCCTTGGAGAACTGCTGCTTCTCTGCCAATGTTGCCAGGAGGTTCTACCTGCCGGCTGCCCTAGCTGCAGCAGAAAAATACATTGTCAACAACCTCTGGAAGCTGTTGGACTTGGACTTGTCAGGATTGCTCGAGCTGAATTTCAGGACTTTGCTAGCGGTGGTAGAATCACCAGATCTCCCTATGGTGAAGGAAACCAGGCTGTTGAATCTTCTGCTGCTGTGGCTGAAGCAGGATAAATCCAGGTTGATTCATGCAAGCAGCCTTTTGGAGCACATAAGATATGGTCTCATCCCAGTGGAAGACCTGAGGAGAATTTACACACAGTCAGAAGTGCCCCTTACTGCAAGTATCAAATGCCTGATCATTAAAGCAATAAACTACCATACATTGGTTTTCAGACAGCCAATCCTGCAGGATAAGTCCACCACACTGAGGAACCAGAAAACTCGGATCATTCTTCTGGGGGGAGGGACAGTAAGTGAGGGTCTGATCACTGAAGTGGTGGCTTTTGATGTTTACAACCATAAATGGAAAGCTCTCACAAAGGTGTGTGATGGGGTGCAGAACCACAGTGTGTGTGTGGTGGGGAACTTCCTCTACGTTTTGGGGGGAGAAATAGAAGGTGGCACTCCAAGTGACTCGAACAGTGACAAGATCTTATCGGTTACAAACAAAGTCCATCGCTACGATCCAAGGTTTAACACATGGACCCAAATCACAGGCATGTTGGAAAAGAGATGCCAATTTTCTTGTTGTGTCTTAAGCAACAATATTTTTGCCATTGGTGGACGGGGTGAGAATGGGTGTCTGCATTCATCTGTGGAAGTCTACAACATCACTAGAGACAGATGGACGAAGGCCAGGGAATTGCCATGCAAGATACATGGTCATGCCAGCGCCACTTGCAAGAATACTATATACATCTCAGGTGGCAAATATGCAGAACCAGCCAGCACAAGCAAGGACTTATATTCTCTGAGCTCGCTTGAAGGGCAGTGGATGAAACAAGCCCCCATGAGCATTGCTCGGTTTGGGCATCAAATGGCGACAATCAGAGAAACCATATTCACATTTTTAGGTTTATATGAACCATTCTCTGAAATAGAAAGATATGACCCTGATCAAAACCAATGGACTCGTTTGAGGCCACTGATCTATGACCGATTTTGCTATGGTCTGGTGGTAGTAGAGGAAACAGCTCTTCTCATTGGGGGAAAGAAATGGCAAGACTCGCGGGAAGTCCCCACGCAAGACGTGGTTGGCTATGACATTGACAACGATAGCTGGGAGGAGATTTGCAAAGCCCCCCTGCCCTGGTGTGGGCTGCAGTGTGCGGTGCTGCAGCTGTCAGAGATGGACGACGAACAGGGCAGTGACACCCCGAAAAAGAAGCTGCCAAACTGCTGAGCCAAGGCATCATGGAATGACAGCCCTGGGAGATGAGCCAGTGGGGCAACTCTGGAGAAGAAGAAAATTGTGATGGCACTGGATGTAAAAGAGTTGAGGGTCTGCGGTGATAAGCAAGACACTGAGTGGAAACAGGCAAGGAAGACTGGCTGCAACCTGGGAAAAGGTGCAGCAATTTGTAGATCTGAAAGCCAATCTCACTGGGGAAAGACGTAGCAAGTAGCACATGTGGAGGAGAGGAGCTAGAATCATAATCCTTGACTTTTTTTGAAGAGTAATACCTAGATAGCAATTAAGAGTTGTTGTAAGTCAGATTTTTTCTGAGGTTAAAAAATGTAATCCATCTTTTCTGTTTTCTTAATCAGAGGTAATTTTCCCAGTTGGTAAGTGCTATTGAATTGCTATGGTATGGCTAAGCAAAGTGAAAGTGAGATGTATAAAGATGAGAAAATTGACGGCTGTAAGAACTAATAAAAAGTAGTGCCAAGGAAAGGTATTATTTTAATATGCTACATACCAGGCAGGAGTGCTTTAGCTAAACAGCATGAAATTACTGGACAGAAAGCATGGATTTTTTAAAATGTAGCCTCAATTGTGGCCATGTGCTAAAACAGTGCTTGTTTCATAGAAGCCATTTCTCTTTGAGCAGCCTTTGTTGTAGCATGCCTTTCATTATTTTGTATTATTCTGAAGAAACACTACTGGTACAGTACATTTCTCATATACCCAAGCCTTGTGTTAGTTTAGATGGCCAGAGCTGAATTGATGTAGGTACTGCAAGACCCTATGACACGTGTTTCAGGAGTTGCTGCACCTAATGCCCTGATACTTACCTCAACAGCATACATCGTTTTATCATACCTGATCGTAATGGTAAAATTGTTCATTACTGAGCACGAGAGAACCCAGCAAACAGGTTTATTTTCACCAAAGAGTGCAGAGGGAAGGAATGCAACTGAATGCTTCCAGCAGACTTCATTCTGAGTCTGCCGACAGCCTACAAACCAACCAGCAACAGTTCTACTTCTTTTTGGCCGTGAGTTTGCAGACACTGCCCAATTGCCAAAGAACTTGAAGGCATGCTGATCTGCGAAATGCAGGTAAAGTGGTCAGATGCCACTGTTTTTGTACACAGTAAACTCAAACTCAAATCAGAGATGTTCATTTAAAAGCTAAATTTATTGTACTTCATTTTACAGTGTTCCTTTCCTAGGTTGAGAGTTAATACAATAAAAATATATATAGAAGAACATTTAATAGTCTTAAAAGAAGGCAGCACAATGGATAGGACACATGTTCTTTGTCACTAGACTAGCTTAAAAAACTGCAATGTTTAATTTTCACCTTTAAAGCAATCAAGCTGACTTTACTAATGTAAAGTGCAGGCAGAATAGCTGTTGCATAGCAACAGATCTAAATCTTCTGAACTGCCTTGGTTTTGACAAGGAATCAACTACACAATGTGCATATACATCCATCAGATATAAAGAGGTTTTATATGAATATATTTACTTTTGGTCCGGTAAAACAGTAGCAAGAGAATCTAAATGCTTGGAACAATAGCACAAACCATTTCAAGTCAAGCATTTTTTAAGAGAAATGTACAAAAACCTCACAAATTTAATATACAAGTCAGTACATGCAGTAAATAAATGTTCAGTTTATACAAACAATATTCTTCTAAATGGTACAAATATTACACTGGATCCAGAATTCTATACAAATGTTGTTAATATATGATCCATATTGACTCGAATACATAGGATTACTGAAAATGGGCTACGGAAAGGCCACTCTTCTGTACAATTGTGCAAAATCTGCAAAACATTTGCAATCTGAATGCAATAGGGTAACAAGGAAGAAAGAGAGAAAAATAAAGGAATAAATGCAAATAAACTAAAAAGAAAGAAAGAAAGAAAGAAAGAAAGAAAGAAAGAAAGAAAGAAAGAAAGAAAGAAAGAAAGAAAGAAAGAAAGAAAGAA